TGTTGGGGGGGTGGATGGAGGGGAGGGACAGGGGCAGGATGTGGCTATGGAGGGTTGAGAGGGGGGGAAGGATATGGGTATGAACGGATGGAACTGAATGGGCTTATGGAGTTGGGCGCATTTGTTTTTTATCTTTGAGCAGGTTTCCATTTTTTCTTTTTTTTCCGAGAGGGTAAAAGAACGATATCCTGGGTGTTTTATGTTCCTTTTATACAAGAATACCTTAGTCGAGCGCCCCTTTTTACTTTTGCACATAAGTTTGTTGTTGAGCTACCTGGTTCGGTTCACTTGTTGATACGATGGCGGGGAGGATGGGGGCTGTTTTTGGTGTGAGTTGGTATGTGACTATGGTTGGGAGGGTAGAGAAGTTGGAGAGGCAGAAACAAGAGCTTATAACTATGGAGTTTTTGATGAAAATAATGGTGGTTTGGGAGGGAGGGGAGAATTTGGCAGGTGAGGCGGGCGGGCGTTTGATATCTGTGATTAGACTTGACTGACGGTCTTGATCTTGGGGGCTCTCCTATCTTTGTTTTTCTGTTCCTTGGAAGGGGTGGTGGTTATCTTTTGGGGGGAGGGGGGGGGGGGGGTGTGAACTTTGCTAGCTTTGCTTAGCAGGTTTATAGGGGAGTTCTTATATGATTCTGGGTGTGTTTTTGGCAATGTGTTGATGTGATGTGTGTACCTGCTCTTGAAGTCGCACATAGTTTTGGTTTTTATCACGTCCAGAGTGGTAGAACCTGGATGTGATGGTTTTGGTGGTCTGGGAGAGGTGGTGGGTGACTGCTGGGTTGGATGGGGAGAGTTGGTGTTTTGGCGATGTGGTTACTGTCTTGAGCCCTGGTGATGGACGTGCTAGGGCACCTTACCTCGGAAGATAGTTCCGGCAATTGTGTGAGAGAAAGTCTAGAACATTCACCGGTCGGTATTAACTTGGGACGTCATAGCCGCGTTGTGGCGGCCATGTGGGCTCTGGAAAAAGAAGTCATTTATTTTTTCTTGTTGAGGAGGTAACTACCGGTAGGGTAAATCCTTCTTGCTCTCATTTATCACGACCATTGGCATGTCATCGTTACGGGGTTGTTGGGTGTGTGATCCGGGAAAGTGAGGGTATAGAAGGGAGTTTTAAGACCGTTGTGTGAGGTCATTTACGGGGCAGAATTTTCATGAAGCATCTGGGAACAGAAGTGTGGCGATATCTTTGCTAATTTTCTCTTTGTCGAAACTCAGAGGAGCAACGAGAGAGGTGCGGTAAAGTACCGGGTGACGTTGCCGGAGGGGCAAAGGTGGGTGGTAGTAGTAACGGTGATTTGTGGGGAGGTGAGTGGGGGGGGAAGGGGAGGGGTGAATACGATATAAGGTAGGGGTTCAGGGGTATTTAGTTGAGGTACAGGTCTGTGTGTGGAGATTGATTACGAGTGTGATAGAGGAAAAAAGCGTTGAAGATGTTCAGAGTGGGTAGTGTAAGGTAGAGAGAAGAAATAATGTAGGGTGATTTGTTGCGGATAGGTAGCTGAGTCTGGCGAAGAGAGCGAGCGTGACGATATTCATTGCGAAGAGACAAAATGAAGAGGTTAAGCAGATAGCCAGATATGAGCTAAAAGAATGGCTTCTCGCATTCCATAGACTAATTGATACACAAAGACCCAACGACGCCCCCTGAATTCAACTTTTTTCACCCGCACCGCCTGACCACCCCTTTTCACCCCCTCACCCCCCCTTTTTTTTTCAGCACCAGCAACCCTCGCTGTGTTCTCTATGCCTGAGGCCTGACAGTGATAACAGGATACGTAGGAATCGGCACCGGCACAAGCCTGATGCTAGTGCTGACCGGCGGCCTGCAAGGAGGAGCAGTGAATGTAGGCCACGGCTTGCAGTCAGGGAAGCATCTGTTTTCTTGATCAGTCTCTTCATTTCCACCGGCAGGATACAAGGAAGAGGGAGGGGGGATCTTACCCGCCATACATCATCCCACACTCATTGATGTAATCAGCACAAACCGTCATTCCGCTCCCGTTGCAAGTCGAGGGCTTGGTAGTGGATGTCGGGATCTTGGTCGTCACGGGCTTGGGGGTAGTGGTCGGCTTAGGAGTAGTGGTAGGCTTCTTCGAGGTAGAGGTGGGCC